TAAGGACTCCTGAGCACTGCTAGGAGTCATCCCTGAGCAGAGAGCCAAGAATAATCCTTGAGCACTTCCTGTTAGGGAGAGGCAAAACCAAACCAAAACCAAACAAACAAAAACCCAAAAAAGAACATGAGGGTAAATCTTCTACAGCTAAATCTGGACAACACCAAGTTCAATTCACCTTTAGTTGTTTATTCAGAATTATAACATGATTTCAGGAATATTTCAGTCTAAAAATGTGTTATTTTATTACACATGGTATTATACATAGTCAGTAAAAAAGTAAATAAAAGCTACATCTCCAACATGGTTGATATTGATTCTAATGAAAATCATTATAAATTTTATATTTAATAAAAGATTGTTTAAAAACAAAAATAATACATGATACATTTGCAAATAGAGAAATTCCTCATCTTAACATGGAGATAAAATCTAGGGGATGAATGGAGTGGTATATTTTAATTAGGTATATCTGTATTATACCTAATTATATCTGTTAGGTACATGTATAGTTACTATTTATTTAATTATTCAATAACTGACATGATATTCTGTAGTTTTTTGTTTACATAATAAATGCCAATTCATTTATCACACAAATAGTTGTCTTACTACAAGTTATTAAAAAGCAGGACAAAAAGAGACATTTATCTATAATCTGTTGAAATGATCTCTTCTCAGATAACACATATTTGGTACTTTATTAATTTTCTTTTCACATTTATTGAAAGCTTTGTACACATAAGAAAGAGAACAAGTTGGTGAAGTATGAATATTTTGTCTAATGTGAATTAACTATACCACTTAATTGATCTGATCTTTTCATGTATAATTTAGATCAGACTGCTAAATGGTTTGGTCATTTAATATTCAAATAATGTAAAATATCAGCATTTATTCTGTAGTTTATAACAGCTGAAAATCCTGTACTAAAATCTTTAATTATAATAGATGGTAATCAAATAGCCCTATAGAAAAAATTTACAGATGAAATGCTTGAATTTCATATGGCTGCAAGTAGAATTCTTTTAACATGCAATTATTTCTATTTGTGAAGTTATATTACTGCTTTAGTCTAGGTACTTTTTCTAACTTATCTGGAAGAGATTTTGGGTCGAGTGCAAATACCCAAGCATTTTTTCCTTTCTCTTTTTTTTCTTTCTAAAGAAGGGAAGTGTTAAAAAGAAGAAGCCTACAACTGATATGTGAAAAAGTGATAACATGTAGAAATATAAAACTTGTATGACTTGTCTGCATGAACTTAGAAATGTAACTTAAATGAGAATGAGCATTGGTGGTTCAGTGGTAGAATATACATTAGAACTGGATAAAATACGTGTAAATCACTTTGGGAAAAACATATAGTAATCATTCAGTATTATTGTCATCATCATCACTATCCTACTTATTGCAGATATATATCTAGTATTTTAGGAATGATTTATTGTAAAAAAAATAGAACAGTAAACTATCCTTGTATGGTACAGATGCATACACTTCAATATTTTTTATCTAAGTTCATCCAAAGTTTATTTATTTTAAATATAATTGGTAAAGGTAAAGGCCCTGCGTTGATCATCGATTTGCTCAAGCGGGCCCAGTAACGTCTCCATTGGAGACTTTGTTGTTACTGTGTCTGGCATATCGAATACATCACGGGGAGCTTGCCAGCCTCTGCCGTGCGGGCGGGATAGTGTCGGTAGCTTGCCGGGCTCTCCGAGAGGGGCGGAGGAATCGAACTTGGGTCGGCCATGTTGGCTGCGTGCAAGGCAAACGCCCTACCGCTGTGCTATTGCTCCAGCCCTGTTTATGATCTGTTAACCAATATAATTATAACCAATATAATTTATTGGTTATAACCAATATAACCAATATAATTTATACCTATTTATGATCTGTTAACCAATAGAATTGGTTAACAGATCATAAATATAGTGAGTTTCAGAGAATACTTGCAAAGTTTGTGTGAATTTATTTGTACACACATATATTTAGGAATTTTAAAAACGAAGTTTATACATATTGACTTATATATTTTACTTTTGCATTAAGCGGCTCTTATTTTAGGTGATGATTTTTTAATGTATATGGAATTTAATTCCTTCCCAAGAGAAATATCCCAGCAAAGTAGCAATGCCTTCTTGAAGAAATTATTTTTCTGCTTATAAGTGTATTCTGTCTTTTTCTCTGAAGTATGTAATTCAAAATGACAGCACAGTGGAAAGAAAGAAAAAAAGAAAGAAAAAAGGTTTTGACAAAAAGGCATGTAAAATTTCAAGGAGGCTGATTTTTTATTCATGCAAAATGTAAAATCCTTTTTCTTTCTCATGATTCAAAAATATCTCTCATCTATTATAGTTTCAGACTATAGTTCAAATATGCATGTAACAAAATCAGAAAGTAATTTGATCACAGCAATCTACTTGCTACATATCTTTTGCCTCCTCATTTTTCTGTTTATGAATAGTGACAATTCAACATGTCATGTTGTAACTTTATTGCAGATGTGTTCTAAAAATACGGTTTTACAGTGGCAGGTAAATGATAAGAATAACTTCTCTTTCTCATGTTATGTTAAGTAAGAAGGAATTTGTACTTCAGAGAGAAAAATAAGTCACTTAATTTTGTTTGTCCTGGGCAAGTTATTTCATATCACTAAGCAAATTATTTTCTAAGAGCTGCAGAAAACTATCAGGTACTTTCTCATTATCTGATTTCACTTTCATGAAAGTTTTTTATGATCTATATTTATACAATATGTAGATGCTCTAATAGTTCCTTCAACAACTTTCCTAGAAGGTCATCTGTAGATCTACAGATTCAGTTGAACCAATTCCACACAGATTTGCTGCCATCTCCATGCTTTTATTTCCCTTGTTAATGTCTAGAAGAGAATTTGGTTCAGTGAAAGGAGAGCACATTCTCATGATCTCTTACACACGCTCTAGTTTCTCTCTTTCCTTTTCTTTCCCTCGGACGTGGCATATTTGTCTCAATATGTATCCTGAATTCAGGAACTGATTTTAGCTATAGCACAGAATTGGCATTCTTCTGCTGGCTGAGTTTTATGTTCTTTATCTGAAGGACCTCCTGATTAGCCTTATGAAATAGAATATTAACACAAATGAGGAGAACCTGTGCTTGCTAGACAACACCATTTAATGTCAAAAACACAAAGCAGAACAAAGGGTGCAAAGCCACCCTTTGATGAAAGCACAATTATTCAGGCTATGCTCTTCAATTAGCAGGTCTAGACTGTCATACATAAATATTTTTTAAATGGTGTGTTTGTTTTCGAAGCTGAGGGTATATGCTTTATTGCTGCCATATACTAGAGAATCAATTGCATTGTACATTTCTCTTTTTAATTATTTATTTGTATTATTTATGTCTGACTTAAGAATCAAGCAAGTGAGAAACTGTACTGAGAACCTAGGTACTATTAATTCTATTATATTTTTTACTAACCATTTGTCACATGCATTTGATGATTTGTGCTGTTTTCTCAATACGTTTGTAACATTTCACCATTAGATTTTTAGGTCAGATACTAACAGGAATTCCATAAGAAAACATATACTGGTGATTTTTTTTATTAGTGAAACACCATGGGGTACAGTTATAGGCTTACAAATTTTGTGCTTGGGTTTCAGTTATACAATGATCAAGTGCCCATCCCTCCACCAGTGCCCATCATCCATCACCACGGGTCCCAGCATCCCCCCCGACCCCCCATCCCCCCCGTCCCATCCTGCCTCTGTGGCAGGGTATTCCCCCTTGCTCTCTCTCTCTTCTTTTGGATATACTGGTGATTTTTATAAAAATAACAGAGTAGTAAGATATGGGCTGGAGCGATAGCACAGCGGTAGGGCATTTGCCTTGCACACAGCCAGCATGGCCAATTCGATTTCGATTCCTCCGCCCCTCTCGGAGAGCCCGGCAAGCTACCAAGAGTATCTCGCCCACACGGCAGAGCCTGGCAAGCTCCCCGTGACGTATTCGATATGCCAGACACAGTAACAACAAAGTCTCCAATGGAGACGTTACTGGGCCCGCTCGAGCAAATCGATGATCAACGGGAGGGCCTTTACTTTACGTTTATTTGAGATATGGAGAACCACAAAATAAAGCAATAACATGTCTAATTAGTCAAAGTTTCTTAGATTCTGCATTGGGATAAACAATTTTCCTCTAGTTTTTTGAACTGTTCATGTAAATGAATATCTAATGACGATGACATTTAAGTTTCCTGTAAAATTATTGATGGAAACATTCAGTTTTGTACTCTAAGTTCTAGAGTCACTGAAATCATCTTTAAAAGTATAATAGAAATTGACAGGTACCTGATTGGTGTTAAATACAATACTGCAAAGGAAAACTAGATGTAACACATGTGAGAAGTACTCATTTTCAGTAAGTAGCAGAGAGTTATAGAGAAGATACAGGTGTGAATCAGTCTATTATCATAGAAAGTAGCAATTTTCACCTATTGCAAAACTAAAATCAGAGGAAATGTAAATAACATCACAGTAACATCAGGATACAAAAAAGTTTATGAAAATAATTTACCACATACTTGCTAATGTGAAGGCAGATTCCTTATGCTGAATATATGTATATATATGCTTATATATATCAAAACAAATGAAATGGTGCTATAAATACCATAAATATGAGTCTTAAATACTAACCAAATTTTTATATTTGCATTTGTTTTGAAAGTAACTAAAGATTAGAAGCAGTTTTCAAGTCATTATGTATATTTTACTCAGAGAGAATCAATAGTTAAGAGATCATTCTTCTATTATTGGCACTTATTATTTGCTAATAAATTAATATTAACATTAGCATCCCGTATCTCAAAGACTTATTGTACAGAAGATAGAAGTCTTCCACATATCTAAGATGTGTCCATTGTCTTATGCATACTAAAGTGAGAAAGATTAATATAATTCCTAAAATATTTTTTAACTGCAATAATTAAATAGGAAACAACATACTTTTGGGGAACCGAGGTGGGTTGTCATTGACATCTGTGAGGGTGATGTTCACTATGGTGGTTCCGGCCAGCCCTCCCAGCTGTCCACCCATGTCCTTGGCTTGAATAAGGACTTGGTACTGTTCTTTGACTTCCCGGTCCATGTTTGGCAATGCTGTTCTAATAACACCTTGATGGGAGATCAAAGGTAAATATTACAAACATGCTTTCAATAAATAATCTGCCACAAGAAAATAAAATAATTCAATTCAGATTCACTAACAAAGTACGATAATAGAAAAAGTAAAGTCCTTTTAAAAGTGAAACAACGAACATATATAGTGATATAAGATAAAATTAAATATAATATCATAATAGTGTCATAATAAAATGCTATGCAGTGCCATGAAATAAAATTAAAGAAAAAAGTATCAGCTCTAAAGATCAATGTATAACCAGCTTACCCATAATTTATACAAAAAAAACAGCTTCAAAATAAAATGCAGTAAGAGTCCTACATATACTACATGTACTAAAATATATATGGTTGCAATCAGGCTGACATCTTTACAGAACTCATTAATTAATGACTCTTCATTAATTTTATTTTGTCTTTAGAATTCCTCATTTGCTTGGCAATACTAGACATATAGATAACATTCTATAGAATTACTCTTTAGTTGAATTGTCTGAATAAATTAATATATGGATAATCAAAAGTTATAATTAATAATAATATGTATGGATATTTGCATATCCTATTCAATTTCTGTGCTAAGTGTAGAACCGATTTATATTTGTATTTATATTATCTTTCTTCATTGTGAGATGACTGAAATCTGGATTTGTGGCAAGTAAAATTACACATGCATTTTCTACTAAATTCCAATCCATAGCTATGGTTCTTAAGGATAGATTGTAAGGTGCTTTTATCTCAAACCCATTAATATTTGTGTTGCATTTTTAATAAAATGCACATATGAGCAACAGAAGTATGAACTATCAACACAGAGTTAAAAATTCAAATCACCGATTGAATGCACACCCTTGCTTTATCTGAGCTTGACACTCTACATACCAAATGTAGCTTTCTTAGTGGTTTTCACATCTATAATCCAGCAATTTTTCTGACCCTGGGAATGTTTAACAAAAATTTTTAACAAAAAAGTGAAATCTATGTTTTGCTAGTTGTTTTATCTGCGCATTGGTACTGACACCCCTTTGATTGAATTTATTTATATTCTCTACAGAATGATTCCTTGTAGTTGCTTGACATTTTTTTTCTTTTTATGCCACACCCCTCAGTGCTCAGAGGTTACTCCTGGTGCTACAGTAAGGAATTGCTCCTGGTAGTGTTCAAGAGACCAGAAGAGATGCTGTGGATTGAACCCGGGTGAGCAGTGTGCAAGGCGAGGTTCATGCCCATGTGTTATTTCTCAGGTCCCACCTTAATGTATTTTCATCACTGTGTCTTCAAGTCCTCATCCCATATGTCTTAGAATATGTAACTTCTATCTTCTTATAATGCATATATTTTCCACGTAAAATTTTATTTTATTCCTATGTTTGCTCTATTATATTGTGAACTAGACATTTCTTTACTCAACTCATTTTCAATATACAAACTCCCAAGATGAAAACATATGGATGTGTGCATGGACATATATGGTCATTGATTTATTCAATCCATTGCCAAAATAAATTTTCTCAAGATAAAATATGTGCTATGTAACATTTATATAAATTATTCACTTATGAAAACCATTTGGTATAATTGGAGGAAAAGACAAAATAACGTTCTCAGGCTTATAAAGAATAACTTGCTTAGTTTTTTTAGTGATTTATTATGATTATCACAAGCTATCCTGCCTTTTTGCTATATTTGATGTGTAACCCATCTTCTGCTTCTTGGTCTACATATGCATTTTTAAAGACAATCTATGCTAATGAGATGTAGCATGATTCTTCTTTCTGAACACCATTTTCATGGAAGAATTTCTTAACTAGAAAAGAAAAGAGGAGTTCTGCAGAAATCTTTAGCATCCTATCAGAAAATTTTCCAAAGGAAAAGAAAATCTTTAAGCATTCTGTTTTTTTCTAAAGCATAGAAAAAGGGGTTTCTTTTAAAGAAGGTACTCAGAGGGTCGCCCATTGTCTTTTAAATGTTCAGCAATTAAAAACATAACCTGCATTGTGTGATCCTCTTAATACTTCAAAAGGACTGGGCCAAATTGCTTTCAGAGCAGAAGGCAAGAAAAAAGAAAATGTGGCATTCAGGTCCTTCAAGTCTTAGGCTAAAAATCCTGTGAGCCATTAATCTTTGAGCTTTTATATTTGTAGATTTCCCAAGGACTGTATGCAGTGGGTAAGCTAAAGGGGCAAAATATACATTTTAATTTTTTTAAAAATAATATATTTTTTAAAAAAACTAACATACCACTATTATCCCACCAATCTTAATCTGATATCATTTGGAATTAAATCTCCTTTCTTGAAAACATGGAACAAATAAGTAATTTTGTTATGACCTGGGTGTCCTATACCTAACAAAATTGTCTATATATATAATCAGGTTAGTTGGAGTAAAACAAAAAAATCTAGATTTTTATTTCTGTCAGTGAGAATAGAAATATATGACTGAGGGCATTAAATATTTAAAATCCATCAAAATTCTCATGGATGATGCACTATTCTCACACAGGATACACTATTCCTTTATAATCACCCTAAAATTATTCCTGACTCTTAATATTAACATTTAGCTACAAAAACTGTGTTAAATCTGATGACAAATGTTTGAGATGAAAATTAGATGATGGGTTGGGATAAAGGCATCATATGTGATTATCCAAGATACTGTGTTACACAAACTATTTCTTAAAATAAGAATTGAAGGATTGCCCATAAGGTACATTGAGGAAAAAGTTGGCAGAACCCTCCATGACATAGAAGCTAATGGTATCTTTAAAGATGTCACCCCGCTGGCCAAGCAAGTGAAAACAGAGATAGACAAATGGGACTATCTTAAACTAAGAAGCTTCTACACCTCAAAAGAAACAGTGACCAAAATACAAAGACAGTCTACAGAATGGGAAATGATATTAGCCAAATACACATCTGATAAGGGGTTGATATCAAGGATATACAAAGTACTAGTTGAACTCCAAAAAAAGAAAACATCCAACCCCATAAAAAAATGGGGAGATGAAATGAGTAGAAACTTTCACAAACAAGAAATCCGAATGGCTAAAAGGCACATGAGAAAATGCTCCACATCATTAACCATCAGGGAGATGCAGATCAAAACCACAATGAGATATCATTTCACACCACAGAGACTGGCCCATATCCACAAGAACAAAAGCAACCGGTGCTGGCGCGGATGTGGCCAGAAAGGGACCCTCCTTCACTGCTGGTGGGAATGCCGACTGGTTCAGCCCTTTTGGAAAACAGTATGGACGATTCTCAAAAAATTAGAAATTGAGCTCCCATTTGACCCAGCAATACCACTCCTGGGAATATATCCCAGAGAGGCAAAAAAGTATAGTCGAAGTGACATCTGCACTTGTTTGTTCATTGCAGCACTCTTTGCAATAGCCAGAATCTGGAAAAGACCAGAGTGCCCGAGAACAGATGACTGGTTAAAGAAACTTTGGTACATTTACACAATGGAGTACTATGTAGCTGTTAGAAAAGATCAAGTCATGAAATTTACATACAAGTGGTACTACACGGTAAGTATCATGTTAAGCGAAATGACTCAGAAAGAAAGGGATAGACATAGAAAGATTGCATTCATCTGGGGAACATAAAGTAACAAAATAGGAGTCTAACACCCAAGAATGGCTGAGAGTAGTACCAGGAATTTTGCTCCATGGCTTGGAGGCCAACCACACATGCTAGGGGAAAAGGGAGATCAGATAGAGAAGGGAACACCAAATAAAGGTGTAGGGAGGATCCTCCCAGGATGGGAGAGGCATGCTGAAAGTAGACTATAGACCAAACATGATTGTCACCCATTGCCTCTTTTGCAAACCACAACACCCAATAAGAGAGAGAGAACAAAAGGGAATGCCCTGCCACAGAGGCAGGGTGGGATGGGTGGGATGGGTGGTGGGAGGGATACTGGGATCCGTGGTAGTGGGAAATGGGCACTGGTGGAGGGATGGGTATTTGATCATTGTAAAATTGAAATCCAAGCACAAAAATTTGTAAGTCTACAACTGTACCTCATGATGTCTCACTACTAAAAATGAAAAAAAATTAAAAAAAGAATAGTAGGATTGAGAAAAAGACAATATATTTAGTAAGCACGTGTTCTAAAATATCAGCTTCATTTACTAATATTGTTATTGGAATTTAAGGCATAATTTATGAACACTAGTATTTGCCTGTCCATTTTATAAATCTTTTACACATATTATAAGTCTCTTCCATTCTTAGTTGCCTTTGGTCGATTGACAGAAGGTGACAGGGTGTAAGGATGAGGCTGATTTTTTAACTCCTCATGGACCTTGTGTTATATTTTCTGTATTTTAGTACTGCATGCATTCTATTAAATATTTATGCATTGTTAAACACAATATAGTACTGCAATGCAATGTACTATAATACTGCCATGCAATGATACTGACAATTAATGTCAACAAACCAATTAAAATAATTATGTTAGCAGTGTAGTGGCAATAAAACAAAGGATTAATGAGATAGAGTGGCAACACCACTATCGATAAAAAATAAGGGTGGAGAGTGTGGTATATGTTACTTATATACGATGATATGCAAAAGGCAAGAACCAATTAAGAAAAGAAGCTTGATTTTTAAATTTCCACATAAGTTATATTACAGCTCTGAAACATGATATATATTTGGGTATTGAATTGGATGAAATCAGAAACTGCTTCTGAATACTAAGATGATACTGAAAAACTCCCTCCTTTGAGGATAACCACACTTCTAACTGAATTATATGGTTTTATTGGTTGTATCATAGTCTTCTCTGAGGAAATCACAAATCAGATGCAATCAATTTGAGTCTTAAAGTGAAATCTTCCCATTTGCAGGCAAACACTGATAGAGGGAAATGGACACTGGTGATAGAATTGGTGCCCTAAACTCAAGTATGAATAACTTTGTAAATCCCAGTGCCTTAATAAAAATAAATAAATAAATAAATAAATAAATAAAAAT